TTCCTAAATATCACCTTGCAGCACACACACTCTAAGTCAAACCCAGAGGTGTGTAGTTCCCTCTCTGGTTCCCAGTCTGGGCTCTTCAGCTCTGTCCCAGCTGCTCTGTGGCGACATGAAACTTCTCTCTTTACTCTCCCCTGGCCTCTCCTTCTATACACTCCTAGCTCTTTCCCCCTTCTCCAGAAGTCCACCATCTCCACTCCTGCCTTCCTCCTTCCCTCTGCACAGCTCCCTGATAGCTGCTCCAGATCTTCCAACTACCAGTATTCCTCCTGACCATCCAACCTGAGCTGTCTTTTGCGACCTGCCAAGGACACAAGGAGCAATGGAGGCACCAGCATTTCACAGAATCATAGAATGGTTTGAGTTTAAAGGAACCTTTACAGCTCATTTAGTCCAAACCCCTTGCAATGAGCAAGGACATCTTCAACTGCATCAGGTTGCTCAGAGCCCCAGTTAACCTGACTTTGAATGTTTCTAGTGATGGGGCATCCACAATGTGTCTTGGCAACCTGTTTTAGTGTCTCACCACCCTCATTGTAAAAAATTTTTTTCCTTATATCTAGTCTGAGAAGAGGAGTGGGGCGAGTCCATGTTCTTGGGAGATTGGTGGGGCAAGGATGTCAGGAGTGGGATGTAGCACAGCTCTCTACTGCAGAAGAGCCCAGGACAACCAGAGCACCTGAGGTGAGGGTGTTCCATGGTCTTGCTGTGCTTGAGATAGCATAGGACTGCCTCAGAGGACAGCCCGCAGGGGGAACAAGAGGTACCCCATGGCATGGGTACACATCACTATCTGCCACGTAGGTGCCACCTTTTAATATGCCCAAGGGCAGCACAACGATGGGAACAGCCCACAAAAGCATGAAGGTCTTGAGACTGATCAGAGAGACCTCCCTCACTCCATGGCATGGCCCTGAGGAGCACAGCTAAGACACGTTTGCTAATGTTCTTGTCAGAGGTGTTGGCAAGAGCTGTTTGGCACTTGGGAAGGAAACAGTCTTTGAATCTTCTCTTAACACCCTTAGGGTCCTGCCTGTAGTTTGTATTTTTCCTCTTCTCCAGTGACAAGCACAGTAGATGTTGTAAAACCTGATGAGTCATAGCTGCAGGCTGCAAGGGAAAGACAAGGTAAAAGGAGAGCAGGGACAGACAAGACAGAAAGCTGCTGTCACTAACCAGCTTCCAAGTCATTGCCATGTAGCTACCAATGGTTTCTCTGCAGTATCACATACATACATCTTCAGCTTTCCCTGGCTGAATCCATGGCTTGAGGAAGAACTTGAGAACAGCCACACTATGTTACACATACCTGCCTAAGAGCAGCATAAGAATCACTGTGCCCTTCTGACCAGAAAGTGCAGTCAGAACTGCCCACTGTAACAGTGGGACTTTGGGAAGAGTTTGTCAGGCAGCTAATCTAGAAGAAAAGCAGAACTTTGAGAAGGACAAGAGTAACGTGTTTTGATCAAGATATGCTGAAACTGCCTTTACTGTTGTCTTTCATGAAAACTGGCAGCGGTCACCAACCCTGGCTGCTCTGCTTTGCCATATGTCCCATCTCCAGTGGTACCACAAATACACTGGGAAAAATCTTCCTGTGACAAATGTTTCAAACTCAAACATAGAAGGATAGAAGTCTTTTAGGTCACTGATTTGATTCACACCTAATATATTTTTCATGCAGTAATTTGAATATGAATATGGTAGTGTCATAGACAAAGGACACCTGTTCCAATAGTGTTCAGTACTGAATGCCTTACAAGTGGTAGATCTAAGCACCTACTTAGATCCACAACGCTAATGTGGAGCAATACCAAGTATTTCTTAGGTTGCTATTCAGTTGTGTGTAGGAAACAGTTTTCCCACTGTAGGAAACACATTCACAGTGTCATAAGTGTACCTACTCCATGAAAAAGCTGGTGTTATTCATGGCCTTTAGAAAAGAAACCAAGACAGAGGGATCCAGCTCCCAGCGCAGCAGCACAAGGACAACTTACTGGTGCAACAGAACAGTTCCACTCAAGTGACTGCTCTGCTTAATGCAGGTGAACAACTGAATTATTTTTTTTGCAGTCTATCACATATCAGTCTCAAAACTAATCTTGCTTAAACTAGTCTTCTACTTCACCAGAGAGATAATTCTGTGCTGGATTGTGCCTTGCTTCTAGTTCAAGCTGTAATATTTATTCCCTCAGAGAACTTACTTTTCAATTAAGTGGATTTTTTCACCAAAACCAAAAATGAAACGTTGTCACTTAAAAATGTCCAGCCAATTCTACACAAAAATCTGATCTGAGGCATGCTTATCTCAGTGTTTCTAAGAGAGCTGACAGTTGTTGAAATATAGGCACTAGGATTGCTAGTGTTGACAAGGCTTTAAAGCATCATCACATTGAGTAGCCATTAGAGGTTATATTTCATTGGAAGTAATGTAATTCAATTACCATCACTCTTTAGTATGTCCCATCTCTGGAGGCTGACAACAAGCCGTATCATCCATCAGATTTTAACCTGAACTTTGCATTCTAGCCTCACAGATTGCCAGTTCTCCATTATGAATGGCTTCATATTTTTAGTGTCCTTTCTTAGGGAAAAGAGGCTATCCAATTATATTGCACATCCATCTGCCTGCCTGTCTCTCTTTCCTTGGCTTTTCAACTAGTTTCAATCAGGAGGCAAAGGTCTTCAAGAAAATTAGGTTCCTATCAGTTTTTCAACTAATCAGAGGCATGGTAAAGAAGAGAAATCATTTGCACATCCCACTTGGGAGTGGTAAACTATGTAATCCCTGCAAACTGACAATCTGGTGAGCATGGACAGCTAATACTGTCTCTTTCTCCATACAAGAAACACAAAAGGCTGAGGAATTTGTGCTATTGCAGGGACAGAAGGTCAGGGAGACCCATGTCTTGTCCTGTGAGACACAAACCCCTAGGAAAGCAGACTCTTTTAGAACTGCTGTTCATGGAACAACTATTTTATAAATGCAGTGAGCTTAGTAATTTACAAAGAATTTCTTGTGCGTATTTCTTCCGCAAAGAATGTTTTGAGTAATTCACTCTGACAGTCAAACATATTGCAAATAGAAAATATAAATTACACAGAAAAGCAAGGTAACATTTGTTTTCCCAAGTCTATGCATTTAAGCTCTATCAATAAGCACATTTTCTTTCTCAGAATATCTGAAATGCAGAGTAACTGATTCACTATGTTTGTAAGTTTAAATGATTACTCTTACTGATGATTATCAACATTACTGATTCATATTACTGTTGTTGTTCTGCCTTTTTGCTGCCTAACTGAACCATAAAAGTACTCATGACTTTGCTAGTTCTTAATCACATTCATCAACTGCACAACAATTGTGATTTATGACAGCTTATTCCTCAAAGGCAACCTGTTTACATCTGTCATTGTGTCCATTCCCTTTCTCACTCCCTCTCCATCCTTCCAAACTTTACCTCCTCTGTATTACTATTTATGCTAAATCCCTTTTCTTTGGCCTTTCCCACTTCACTGGCTCTCACCAGCTCTATATCTCACCTTCTCCCATGTCCACACATCCTCCATCCCAGTCTTGCCCCTCATTCTACTACCTCTTTTTCTGCCTCCCACATACACTGTCATTATCTGTATTTTCTGGCTTCCTCCCCTAGCCTGCTCTTTGCTCAGGAGATAGTTCCCTTCCCCTCGCTCACACAAAACTTTACTAGAAAGAGAACGGTGAACCTGGACACCCTTATAAAAACACTTCTGCTGGACTTTTCTGGTTTCGCTTCCCTATACTTCTCCATGGATCACATTCATGGAAGCTGCATTTCCCTCTTACTCTTTCTGTTCCACCTGCCCATTCACCACCAAAATCTCACGTTTTCTCCCACTCTCATTGTGGCCCCCACCTTTTCCCACTTAGTGCTGCTCCTTGTGACACAGTTATCTTCAGCTACACCCAAAGCTACACACTCTATCACTTTAACTTCTTTTTGAGTGTTTCTCTGCAACATTTACTCTATCAGTTGACCATTGTCATCTTCTCTTCTGCTTCTAATGACTCCCTGTGAATACACAGCTTCACTTTCCTTTAGACATTTGCTTACCCTTCAATATTTCCATCCTCTTCCTCAAAGACAACTGCCCCTCTAGTCCTTGTAAACCTCGGAGGTTGACATTTTACTGCTAGAAGAGTTTGCCTTCTACCATTTGGGGAGTTACCTGATCCATTTCAGATGCCCCCTGCCCACAGTCTACACAGTGTGAACTCCAGCATACATCATTCCCAGATAAGGGTCACGTCCTACATACACACACACACACAAACACACACACACACTCTCCTCTGCTGGAAGACAGCCCATGCTGCTGAGAACAGTCACCCATCAGCTGCAGGTAGGCTGGCAAACTCCCACGTCCGAAATACCAAGTTTTACTCCTCCCTCATACCCATTACTCACTCCTGCTGCCATTCCTTAGGGAGCACCAGCGGAACATTCAGGACAAGACCACCAAGCCTCTTGCCCTCGTTCCCATACTTTTTATAACTTTTGTCACACTTCTGTTTCTCATTTTCTCATCTACATATGCCGTCCTTTCCCTCACGCTCTACCTTATTTTGTCAATTCCTAGAAAGCTCTCTGCCTACGCACAAAAGGAAGCCACTCCGTCTAAGTTTCTACTAAAAAGACACATTCACAGATCTTACAGTCTTCACAAATCTTTTAGTCTTCAATGACCAGCTCTGGCCATCAGTCTCTATTGCTTGTATCTAAATTGCCATTCATGTCCATTATTACTCTTTCCTAATTTTGTCACCTTTTCCCTCTCCCATATTCATTATGTCACCCACAGGGTCTTGTTTCAAATTAGACTGCAAGATGTTTAGAGCAGAAAGAGTGCTCATACAGCATATACACCTAGTGCAACAGGAGCTTGTAGAAGCTAGTGTTTCCCCCATAGAATACAAGTATCATAACTGCCCAAGGCTAGTGGGAACTTACCGAGCCGTACAGTTCCCCTTTCTCATTCATTCCAAGGTAAAGTCCACTGTCGACCCCTCGGATGCTGACCAAGCCCACTGCTATACTGATAAATTCCAGTATACCTATAAAATGCAGGAAAAAAACAAACAATGCATATATTGTTTCCATTGAAAGATTTTTTTTTTTCAGATGTGACTGATCCCTGAGTGTCAAGCAGCTATTTTCAAGGCTGTTTTCCCATTTTCTGTGTTGTTTGGAGGAACATAAGGAACAAACAAATATACAATACTTAAAGTCCTTTGAGTGCCAGTTAGAATGATGAATTACAAACAGCATTAATGTACCAAATGAAAAGATTACTCTTAATCTTTCTCATCATTTCCAAACACAAACTCAATTATACTCTGATCTGCACAGCAGATAGTACATTCAGAGAAAAAAAAAAGTGTTTAGAGTGTCCGAATTAGTAGAAGTGAGGAACCTATGAGATTTGTCTTGCAAAATAAATTCTGAAAAAATACGATTTAATCAGAATTGTGAGATAAAACAATGTTACACATGGAACCAAAAGATCTACTTCCAGCCATCAATGAACCAGGAATACAGGGAAAGATTTACTCACAGTGTGATCTTCCAGAGGCTTGAGAAATTAAAATCCTTAGTATAGTCCACTTTCATTCATTTCTGTTTAGATAGTAACAATTTTCCCTGATATGTTATTATTTATTCATCTCAAATTCAAAAATTAAAATATCCTACACCTAAGTAATAGTGTACACAGGATTAACTCTTCCCATGCACGTAAGAACAAGCTCACACAGACATTTGTGCATGTAGAAATAATATTTTGCCAAGAAGCACTGCTTCTGCAAAGCTCCCAGGTTCAGCATCCACGTGCACAGTACAGCAAGTATCTGTATCAAGTATTGGCTCATCTGGTTCTGGGGGTTTGGGGATTTTCTGGCAGCCTTCCCTGCAAATTGCTTACCTCTTCAATGAGGATGCTACCAGCCAAGCCTTGCACAAACCTAGAAGTCTTGTGTGAAAAATGGAAATTGCTTTCTATTTGGGAGTGCTCATCTTAGATTGTAATGATCTCACAGGAGTTATCCAGCAGCATTCAGAAGCATGCTGCTGTGTTACTTTCTGAGTCACAAAATAAAGCACAGAGTAGCATTTTCAATATATTTTGTGAATTTTCATGCCTAAGCCCACCATATAACTATTTTTAAAGCTCATGGGAAACTATATGTATATGAAATAATAAAATAAGGGTATAGTATGTGTTGAGCCTCATGCGGCAAATAAAAAAGCACTTTCATGGATTTTTCTAACAATTAATTTGGCATCTCCCACAAAATAGTTGTGCACTAATCAATAACAGGCATGAATCACAAATCTAACATGGCACAAGTTGAAGTCAATAGGGAAAATTTATAGCCAAGCTAATGTGAAGATGAAAAGTATTCCCTGTAAGGGACTATTGATCATTACCTTATATATTATTCAGTACTACAAACACCATAGTCTTACTGTTTTGATAATCCTGTTTTAAGGCCTGAGTATCTTAAACTATTCTCTACATATGCACAAATAAAAATATTTAGTAATTTTGGATTCTTTTAAGTAATATAAAGTGGCAGTATGCTGTTTATCTGGTGTATGTAGTATCTCAGATACAATTGATCCATGGAAACAATTTAAACATTCCTATTATATCTGGACATGTAGTACTTCCAGATTTCTTACTAAGGTTTTTTCTATAAAGCTTTTACCAAAATATCGTGTTACTTGGTACATGTTACCAAGCAATTTTAATTGAAGTTAAAATCTTACATTAAGTGTGTATTATACAATACTGTAGCTAAGTTAGTGAGTCTGGCATCTTTCACAACAGTCTAAATGTAGTCTTTAATTGCTGTTCTAATTTCAAATATTTGGGTGCATGCTGCCTAGTGCATAAAAAGAACAAAAAACACTGTCACATCCTATCGTAAGTGTAGAAGATGAATTTAAGGTACTGTGGCAAAGAACATCCACATATTTGAAGTCAGAATAGAGATTTCTTCATTTGAAATATTCAAAAGCCTATTCACAGCAAGTTTTATGTGCCATATTAAGTCCTTCAAGAGATTATCTGGGGTGAAACATACAGTCTTACAGAAGCCTTGTCAGTTTAAGGATTTCATGATTTGCCCCTACAGTTCTGTGAATATTTTCACTGTATAGTTTCTATAATATATGGATAGTACTTAGGACCTGAACCAGATATTAAAATAGATAATCCTCCTCAAAATGAGGCTGGATCAAATGGAAATCAGGGCATCTCCAAACTTTAAAAGCTAGGGGCCTATTTATAGCTAAAAACGGGGAAGGGAAGCTTTGAGGAAATAACTGACTCAGTACATGGGGTACTGAATTTCTTTTCACCAGACTCTGAGCATTTTCTTTAATGAAACCACTTCACAAGAAGTTTAGGAAGAAAGTTTTGGGGAAGTTATTTATTCCTGACACATCAGCCCTTCATGCACCTTCTTCTACATGATCCAACTTTGACCATGCTGAACAGCAGCAGGACACCAGCCTGACATAAAGGCTGGTCATGCTCTCCTGTCAGGCTCACAGGTGAGAGGGGGTAGATCGTTCACAAACGCGAAATTTTAACTTCCATCTAGCTTAGCTCTGGTGAAGAACGGGCCTACAGAAAAATTTCCCTTGGTTTTTAAGCAATGAACACCTCTGGAACTACGCGGTCTTTTTGTTGTTGCCGCTTTGCCCTTTGCACATTTTTGTCTTTGGTTACATATAGGCTTTCTTTGTATTGATGGGTTGAAGCAATTTAGTTTCCCCTTAGCACTCTAACACACCGAAGACAACAACGAAGACGGTAAACTCTGCCAGCCAGTTCTTTGTAGGGCTTCCAAGGGAAGCGAAAAGCAGGGGAGGGTGAGGGACCGTCCGGACCCTGCTCTCCCCGGGCTGCTGCGCGTCCAGCGATCGCCCACTCCGGGAGGGGCGAGGGAAGCAGAGCCCTTCGTGGCTAAGAAGCCGCCGGGAGGACAGCCTGGTGACGGGGTGAGGGAAGGAACTTCCCCGGAGCCCCTCAGCTTCCGGCGCCCCCCTCCCTTGCTCCCGGCCGCCGGCCGAGGCTGCGGCGCGGGGCTGCGCGGAGAGGCGCGGGGCTGAGCGCTCCGTCGGGATGCGTCCCGCCTGTCGCAGCTGTCACCGCTCCGCCCGCTCCCCCACATGATGCCAATTAAAAGACGGGAGGGGAAGACACAGCCCCCCCAGGCAGCAGGGCCCTGCTTCAGTTTCAGGCTCTTATAGCGCCCTTGCCCTCTTCCCCTCATCCCCTCCCCTTGCAACACTCAATAGCGGGGAAGACTGTCGAGGCCGCTCGGCGCCCTTCCCTCCCCCTAAAACCTGGCCCACGCTTCACAGTCCCGGGGGCCAGAGCCCTCCCCGCATGCATCGCCTTGCTCCCGCCCCGTGCCGTCTCTGGGGAGAGCCAGCAGACCGGGGCGGGGGGCAGGCCCGCCCCGCCGCATACAGCAGCAGAAGAGGCGGGCAGCCGCAGGGACCCCCCGTCCGTAGCCGCCCCCGCGCCCTCCCGGCGCTGAACCTGCCCCGCCAGCCCAGCGCCGGAGCAGGCAGGGCGGGCCGGGAAGGCGGGAGGGCGGGCGGCTGAGCGGCTCCCGCAGATGATGAACGCAGCGGTTCCTTGTAGCAGCAGGTCCCGAGGAGCGGAGGTCACCTGCTGACAAGCTTTTTTTTTTTTCCTTTTCCTGCATGCTCCTATTTTTTTAATGCTGTGCATGCAGTACTTGTGCTGACGCACAGAGGCACGCCTCTCCGCTGTTACAGAGTTCCTGAATTTACAATGACTCTAGTGTCTAGTCAATGCCCTAGACTAAAGGAGACTGCATCAAAAAAAAAATTCTTTTGTGACCCAGGAGAGATAAGGCTTTGATCACCTGAGATCGCATTACGGGGGGGACCGAGCCGGACTCTCCCGGGGAGCTTTTCTTTCAGAGATGGACATCTTGCTGCAGGAATTGCGAAATGCCAGGGCTCCCAGAACCGGGCGAGTATAGACACACAATATGGCTCGGTTTACTGTATGCAATAGGCACACATCCAACATAGCATCACAAAAGAATTACTCTTATCTGATGTCTCTCCAGAGGTGTGTGCGTGTGTGTATGTGTGCGGGGAGGGGGATTCCCACAGGGCAGAGCCCAGAGAGGAGTTTACGCGCAGCCCCTAATGTTTTCTCTTTGTCCGCCTTATTCCTGAAAGAAAACTTCCTTCTGACGCGTACCCCCACATTGACACGCACACGCGCGCAGGTTTCCCTGCACGCGCTCGGAGGAGACCATGTAAACCCGCTCTCCCCCGGGCAGCTCCTGAGATGGGATGCAGACCTCCCCAGTATCATCACAAGACTTTACAATCACCAAAACCCAAAGAGCATCTGCTATTCGGTGACCTTCCCGCAAACACAACAGCAATCTCACAGCACCGATACAAAAGCACTGAGATCCTCTTCCCTCCCCCCAGAGAAGCCGGGAGCCCCAACACATCTCATGGGTTCGCCGTGCCCGCTCTACCCGACCCTGGAGCGAGCAGGGGCATCACCGGCGCGCTCTATGGGAGAAGAGTTGTCACTGGGGCGCGTCCTGCGGGGGGGAGAGGGAGATCAAACCGACAAGGACAAAAAACCCAATCTATTTAAAGCCAAGGCGCTGCGAGGAGGTGAAAGAGCTGCCCCTCGGAATTGTCAGCTTCCTAAACTGCGGCTGGATAGCCATTTTTAAAAACAGACGCCGCGAGTAATGTGGTCACCGCCGCCTTGCAAAGGGGAACAGCTGGCGGCCCTCCTCTGGGGGCGGCGGGGCCCCGCGGGCCGCCAACCCCACACCGCCCTGGCTGCCGGTGCGCAGCGCCCTACACCTGCTGCGGCCCCGCACCGCGCCTCCCTCGCCGGCTCCACACAGCGCCGCGCCCGCCGCTCTCTGCCCGCACCGCAGCGGGCTAGGGGAACCTGCGGCGGTAGCTCAGCAGCCACGCACGGCGTCTGCCTGTGCCAAGGAAAACGCCTAGCTGCAGAATTCCCCTCACTCCGCGGCTGCCTGAAACACTTTCAGCACTTTTTCTCGCCAGCAAGCGTGGATGTTGTGCCCCGGGGATAGCCGCGACGCTCCCCCTCGCCCTGCACCCACCCCCGTGGACCCCGGGCGGGTGGGCGGCGTGGGAGGGAGGCAGAGCCCGTAAGCAGCACGAGAGTATCAGGGAGCAGCGGATGCCGGGGGATGGAGGATGAACCTGCGACCATGCGAGAGCCTCAGTCCTCTCCTCCTCCGTCGTCCCCCCCCCCCCGCTTCCCTTCTGAGCCCTTTGGAGATCATCTCCTGCAACACCAGCATTATCTAAACAGCTTCACAAAGCAATAAAATAAAGCTTAGATATCGTTCAACATCTGGCATTAAAATACAAAGAGAGAAAAAAATCACCACAGGACTTTGTTTTTACGACCGAATTTAAGTGCTGTCAGGTTAGTTCACTCACAAGTTAACTCCTTCCAACAGCTGGGAGCGTGGTGAGCTAACCTGGCGTATTTTCCTCACCCCTCCTTAAGAAAAAAACCAAAGAATCAGCTCATCCAGGCTGTTTTAGTTACTTTCATGCATTCAATCTGCCAAGCCTTTAACAGACTCCCTGACAGCAGAGAAGCTCCAGGCCCACTGGACTCGCGTGTGCATGTGCATGTGTGGATGTGTGCGCGTGTGCATGCACAGGCTCTCCGGAGCGGCCGGGGCCATCAGCCCTTCAGCCCTCGCTGCTGAGTCACAAATAGCGTCCCTGGAAAGGAAATCCATGGAATGCTATTTCAAATTCGCTGCCAGCCTGACACGCCACACAGCTCGGGAAAGGCAGATTTTGGCGCAGGATTCCCGGCGGGTTCCGGACCCCACCTGCGCTCCCTCCTTCCCGGGCCGCCGGCCACCGGCAACGCCGCACAGCTGCGGGTGCGGGCTCGGGCGGGCGGCGAGCACCGCTGCGGGTCGGCGGGCGCTGCCGGTGAATCCTCGCCGAGCAGCGAATCAGACTGGGTGTGCAGTTCGGGCAGTTACTAGGGCAGGTAATCGGCAGAGAAAACGAAAGAAAAGCCCTCGTCAATTTGCGTATAGGACGAGAGCCACTCCCTCCAGGAAACTCGGTGAATTTTAAATTGTCGTGGTTAATGATTAAAAACCCTTTAAACTCTCGAAATCAAATCATTCAGCAGAAACGTCCCGAACAAAAATTCCACCACCGCCACCACCACCTCCCAGTACGCGTCTGCTCTTAAGCAGAACTTGAGGCTACACAAACATCGCTACTAAACACCCGGCGACTTCGGCGAGGGCTCCTGCTCCGCCGCGGTGGTGCCGCTCTTGTACATCTGCAACCCTGGACACAACTCATTTTTCCCCTCGGCAGATCAGTCATCAGCACAAACCCCCCTTCCCGCCCGCCTCGAACCCCCCCACCGTCCCCCCGCCCGCAGTTCTGCCCCATTATTTCATCACATGACCACTAAAGGGTTAAGGATAATACCTACCAAATCTGCTGTGGTCTTGCCTGGTTCCCTGGATAGTACCATTGGGGAAGATTTCTAAATGAAATCCAGTCCTGCAGTATAGCTGTCTCCGCCTGAGGATCCCCTTTAAATGGTCCAAGTCCGTGACCGCAGGCCCCCTGGGTAGCCCACCTGCCTCAGACTGACCCAGGTGGTCACTTAACAAAACCGGACTATCCACCGGCAAAACGGGCACATTCCCAAAGGGTACTGCATCCTGCACACCGAAATAGTTCCCAACTTCACCTAAGGGAGCCATCAGAAGATTCTGCTTTTAGAGAATGAGAATAAACAATAATGATGGTGCCAAACCCAGGAGATATAAGATTAGGTATATTCCACTCCTCTCCCCTCCCTAGCGCAGTTACAGAGAAAATGTTCTTTCTTCAATCCATTAAATGCATAAATAAAAGTAATATTCTCTTTTGACTGGTACAGGTTCAAGGTCAAACCAGTTAGTCTAAGAAACCACCACTTTATACTCACACACTGACATATTTATAAACATATAGATGTGTATATCTATATAAATGCATATATCCCCAGCTCTTAGCAAGCAATACGGTCTTCAGCCCATCCAACTGTAATAAAGAAAAAAAATCCGTAGTTTCTCCATTTGGTTTAAGATAAGAATGATCATAGCAACTTAAATACCTAGGCGTTATAGGGATTTTTTTTTAAGATGCACAGGCTACGTCAGGATTTATGGATTCTGATTCCAGAAAGGCATGCGCTGTTTTTACTCTATAACAGACTGCATACATCAGCATGAATCCTGCAAAGGGGGAGGGGGGAAATCTCACGTTGTTGGCTGAGATAAATCCAAAAAAAAAAAAAAAAGAAAAAAAAAAAAAAGAAAAAAAAAACTTTTGACGTCCAAATCTATTATCCAGAATTCTCAGGAGGCTCAGCAGATGTCCACTGGTTTAGGATTATTGACGATCCACAAGCAAAGCAGCAACATACAAGTGCTTGTGTCTTTCTTGGCTGGCTCGAAACAGGTGTTGCTTCTGCAGGGCTCCCTGTGAAATGTTGTACTCCAGCACTGAGCTGCAGCTCTTGACTGTGGATCTCCATCCAGCACGCAGAGTGGCGCAGGAAGAGGCATTGGGCTGGGTTTAAGGTAGTCCTGATTGCTGCTGGAAGGATTCTCCGAGGTCCTAGCGCTCAGCTCTACCTGCTGCAATACCAAGCCGCTTCCAGGGCTCGGCACGGCGCGGAGCGGCTCTTGCCGCTCTGCGGCAGCGCGGCGCTCGCCGGCAAATAAATAAATAAGTGGGCGAAACTTTGGGGGAGGAATAAAGCGACGCGATGCTAAATATACCGCGCCCGCCCGCTGCGGGGAGCGGGCTCCTCGGGAGATGCCCGCATAGCCCGAGTCCCCCCTGACATTGGCGGGGGGAGCGGGGCGGGCAGCGCCCTGCCTGCCCAGCCCGAGCCCGGCCCGGTGCCCGGCCCCGCCGCAGGGGAGGCGGAGGCGAGGCCGCCCCGCACCGCACCGCAGCCGCGGCCCCGGCCCGCTCTGCCGCAGGTAACCGGGCTGCCGCTGTCCCAGGCGGGGTTCAAACTCGGCTCCGGCGGGACGCGTCAAGTTCGGGAGCTGGGGCTGGTCTGGGGGGTCCTTATCGCCCACGCCGCATTTCTTGCCTTCTCCACTCTGGCCCCCAGCCCCGGCAGCCCGCAGCACTCTCGCCCTGCCTCTGCTCTGCCGGAGGGGCAGTTTCGGGAATACCGGTGCGGGTAAGCGCCAGGGCCCTGTCACCGTCCGGAGCGCTCCGGGGGCGAACCGGGTCTCCCCGCGCCCGGGCTCGGCCTCAGTATTTAAGAACCCGGTGGAGGAAGGGAAGAGAGGGCCAGGAGGTGGCATGGGGTGAAGCGGGGGTGCGATGCGAAGTACGTGTTCTCCTTTCACCCCAACAGCCACCCCCCCCCCCGAAAAAAAAAAGTTATTTAAAACTGTCGGGAGACACCCGGCGAGGGGAGAGAGAATTTCTGCTTTTCTTATGATGTTGAGGATTGGTGTTATTGTGGTTTTGCCCTTAGAAAACAGCTGTGTTAACCAGCAACGGAACAGAGGGTCTCCTGCCTTTGCAGAATTCTTGAGCAGAGCTCAAGGACCTGGCACGATGCAGAGCCTTGCACGTGGGAGAGGACGCTCCGGCAGCCCCTTGAATTGAGTGCAAAACCTGAACATAGGCTCTTCTGGGAATGTTGGGGAGAGAGAGAGGCAGGGAGAAAAGGAGAAGAAACTTAATATCTTGGGGGCTGAGGGGAGAGTTTGCCTGGTGTGAATGATGATGTGCACCACTGAGGTAGCGGGGTTTGGGAAGGTCATTGGTGGAGCCTGGAAACAGAATTCTAGAGAAGGAGAATTTTGCTAGGGGCTTAATTAAAAATAATCGACTCTGCACGTCCTCCTGCTCAGTGGGCATGCGGTGGAGGGGGCAGCTCTCCTTGCCTTCCCCACCACAAAAGCTAACAATCCAAATCTGACTGGTGCAGCCTTTCTGCATCCCCCCACTTGCCAATGTGACTAAACACAAGAGGAGGGAGGGAGAGAGACTAGTTTTCAAATCTAGCAGGGAAACTGCTTCAGGGAAAAGCTGTGTCCTGAATCCCCATGGACCTTTAGGGAACTGATACCCGCCAATGGCGCGTGAGCCACCCCCTTTTATTTGACAGTCTTTATTGCAATTTGAAGGACGGGATGTAGAAGCTTCAGAGCAGGGTCACATCACTCTAGTTCTGTACAAACCCACAAAAAGAAACAGTTGCTGCATGTCAGTCCATGCATTTTGACGTGCAAGAGCAGAAAAACCCCTAACAACAAAACAGGAAAGTCATTGCTCTCTGGCAAATAGTTCCAAAGCATTTACCCTGTATATCAGGTTTAAGGACAGTGCTCTCACACACACACTGCTTATATCAGCATGAACAACTGCAGAATGACTTGGGAAAAACTGCAGAACTCACCATGTCAAAAATCATTATTCTTTATCAACTCGATCATGGCAGTACCCAGAGGCCCCATTCAGGGCTCACAGTCCCATTGTGTCGGATACTGTAGACACATGTAATAAGAGAGATGGTCTATGCCCAAAGAGCTTATGATCTTAACCCATGATGAAAGACAACAGGTGTATAGGACAGACCCATGGGGGGAAGGATAAGGGAAAAACAGCCTTGAGAATAAAAAGCAACAGGCCTGGCCAGTGACAAGTGTTTGGTGTCAGAAGAAGGTTTTAAGGAGATTTGAAGGAGAACAATAAAGGAGCTTTACGGTTATTATTGGGGAGATTTTTTTCATGCATAATGGCTAACTTGGAAGAGAACATAAAATTGCTTATTAGGAAATTGGACTGCTGAAGAGTGAAGGTTTGTGCCACTGGCAGAGCAAAGGGAATGTTGCCGAGAGACCAAAAAGCCTGGTATCTGGTGTGCTCTCAGTCTAGAAGCAACAGGGAAAGAGGCTCCCAGCAGCTTTCCAGTGCTTTAAAATTTACATTTCTAGTCCCAGTGAAAAGTATTATGTGTATTTTTTTCTCTAGTTCAGGCTTCAGTATTTTTTAGCTTGTACTTCACACAAGCATACCTTGTGAAAAATATCTGACAGTAAAGAAAAAAGTATTGGTATAGTTACCTTTTTTTTATGGAACTTAAATGAAAGGCCACAGGTTATTTGCTATAGGAAGTTTAGTGTTATAAAAGTGTTATCTAAGTTGAGGCTTTGATGTCTGAATTACTCATAAGTATCAAAGCCACACATGAATTATGCAGGACATCCCCAAAATTATACCCATCTGTGAGTAGGTGGTGTTCCAACCCTGCTTCACATAAAATGTATGTGTGATGTGTAATGTCAAACTTACTCCTTACAGAAGTTTGGCATTGCTAATAGCTGGGGCTGTATTAAAAACCTACACTTTTATCCCCGAGACACTGAGGCAGGAACATCCCTAGCTCCCCTCTACTCGAGATTCACACCCACTTCCCTTATACCCTCCTGGAATTAAAGACTGCATCTGCCACAGTGAGTCATCAAGAGCTTACTCATCAGCTTTATGCAGGATTTTAACTCTTGAGAGCAGAGTTGGTCAGAAGGATCTTGCATGTCTTGAGGAGTTCCTGGCACACAGTGTCCTCACATGTACCACACTAATGTGACACCTCAGCCAAGTTTTAGATATTACGACTTTTTTTAAATAAAACTGTTTCACCCGTAGTCTGCCAACAGTTCAGTTTTAAATTATCTTTTTACATATCAATTTTGGAGTGTCATTTAAAAAATAAATTAGCTTGCCTGGTTTTTCTTGGTTTGTGTTTTCTTTTTTCATTCTTCCAAATTGCATAATTTCACCGAGAGTACAGAATCTTATTCTGGACCTTTAATGTATCTAACTAAATTATTTCCCAACCTTGCAGACAGACAACTGAAAGAATTACATTATTAAAAAGAGAAGTGTTACAACTTTCCCATGAAATGCATGGCATTCGCCATTTTAACTAAAATTGAGGTAGAAAACTTTCAAAAGCTTTCTACAAATGGAGAAAAATATAAAAATATAAAAAGTAATCCTATTTTCAGTTTTCTTGACAAATAAGGATTTTTAGGGTATTTTGAAGCATGATATAAACCTGGATATAAGACTATTAAGTAATCTCATTTCACTCGAGGCTGCTAGAATGGAGACATCAAGATACAAACTACTTGTTCTTTAACATAGATAAATAGGAGCAATTTTAGGGCACAAATCATCTGACCTATTTCAGGCGTCTACTTTAGGATGACATGACTCATGCTCTAAAGATGCTTAGTTCTTCCTCGTGTATGAAGGGAGCCTATATTAGATGTAGACTTCTACATGACAGAGGTCTAGATAGGACTGGATGGATCCCACCTGCTGCATTATACATGTGATTGAGAATTTCCCCAGCATGGGTGGTGAGAGCACCAAACTATTAATATAGGTGCACAAATTCACACTCCAAAGAAAACTCAAGTCACCTCAGCAAAGAAAAATTACTGGAAGTCATGATTATGAAACATTAGATTGCCTGGAAATAAACAATGTTTGTGAAAATAATAATAATAAAAAAAACCAAACCAAAACAAACAAATAAACAAAAAACCACAGTGTAAGTCAGGTTAATTGGATTAACATAAGAAATGCCTACAAGTTTAGAAAACTTGAGCTAGAGGAATGTATTTGCTTTCTCATTTCAGTGACTGTAGAAAAAATAGCAGTATTTATAACCAAAAAGATTCCTATAAGAATTCCAGAAGACAACAGAAAAGGGCTTGTTCCCAGTTCATCAAATTTTCACACTAGAGGAGTGTAAAATATGCAGTTTAGATGGAACACTCCAAGAAAATATCAGTGTCAATGTCACAGTGACCGTGGGATATCTGACGTGGATTTTTCATGGTGTTATGGTATTTTGCTTTGTACAGGAATTAGTGAATTCACATAAATAAACACTGGCAGAATACGACCATCCTAGGGAGGGAGTTATCATGGTCCATGTTTTAAAACACCTTAATTTAAGCACAAAAGTAAAAATATCACTATCAGTCAGATACAGTCAAGTGCATTGACACAGATGTCAATATAGTGTTTTGGAATGTGTGTCATTGTTGGTGCTACTTGAAGATATAGAGGATGATGTAAGCATGAAAGCTGCCAAATATGTTTGAAATTTCTGTGATGTGTTTATTTGTACCTGGCTTGTATCTGTTGTTTTTAGTAATAAATTGATTTTCCATGATGTTGCAAGTCCTGCCAGGTCAAGAGCCAAAGTGTCACTGATTGGAAGGAGAAAAGGGAAGGCAGTCAGTTGCCATGTGTGCAGGTGACTGCAGAGGCCTCCACATGGCACTCAATTTCTGCAGCATGGCTCACAGAACTGCTCACTGTGAGAACGTTTGCCACTGCCAGTGCTTTTCCTTGTGCGCCTTTCCGGCCCAAGCACACACAGAGTCTAATCAGAGGTTTCTACCGCCTTCATGCTCTGATGCTGTCAGTGCTCATCTGTGGATGCAGATTCAGCAGGGTTTGTCAGCAGGCTACAGAGCATCTCTGAGGCTCTTTTGGCTGATACACTTCCTTTGTAGATAGTTCACCACCTGAAGGATGAGGCAGCATTCGTACACCAACCAAGGCCCAGAGCTTGACCATAGCTGGATGCTACTTACCAGTGCTAGACTGGAGCTGCAGCCGCCGAT